TTCCAATCCTTTAAACAAATTGTGGTATACTCGCACAATGGAATGTTGTACAGAAACAATAATGAACAAACTACTACAAAACGAGTTAAATGAAAGACGCCAGACACAAGAGCACACAATCGTTTTGTTCCGTACACATAATATATCTAAACAAAACTAAGTACACACACAAGCCACAAAAGAAATACCCAGCACCAAAACCACATACCAGCATTTTTCACAATAATCAAAAAACATCAATGACCATCAATATGAGAAGGGATAAATTATGGTGTATTTATACACTGGAATGCATACAGTAATGATATGACTACACATAACACCAATGAATCTCATACCAAGTGAAAAACACTCGGGAGTATTATAGTATGATATCATTAACACAATAAATAATAGGCATTCTGTGGTATAAACGTCAGTACAGCAGGTTCCTTCAGGGTGGAGGGAAGGTGACGGAGACAGGAGATGAGGAAGACTCCACAAAACCAGTGGTTTCTGCCTTTTTATCTGAGCAGTGACAACATGACTGCACCTACTTTGTGCAAATTTACTAAACTGTATGCTTAAGATTGTGCTACTACTCAAGATGTTACTAAGCTAAAAAGATTACTGAAAAATAAAAGGTTTTGGGAAATAAACATTCACTGATATGACAGTTTATTGCAGCAATAGTTTTCCGAAGACCTGGTGAATCCAGTAACACACACACACACACACACACACACACACACACACACACAGCAGCCTAGATGCTGGGCAATGTGGTATGCTACCAATGTTTGATGCAGTTTTGTTCCCTGACTTTCTGGAAATTTTCTAGAAAGTGGCCTATAGCTGGATTTTGCAAAAATTCAAATCAATTTACAGTATTTGTTTTGCTGGATCTCAGTCTATAATTCAGGCTGATTGTAAACTCACTGCAGGGCTGGGGAGATGGTTCAGTAGGATAAGTGCTTGCGTGGCAAACATAAGGTCCTGAGTTCAATCCCTGGCACCGCAAAAAAAAAAAAAAAGTAAACTTATTGTATAGCCCAGGCTGGCCTCAAACTTGTGGTAACCCTCTGACTCAGCCTCTGGAATACTAAGATTAGAGACATGTGCCATCACATCCATCTATAGTACTTTATTTTAATATCCTATTACCAATAAATCAGTTTAGCCGTGCTCTTAATTTTTTTTTTAATTTTTATTTATTTATTTGTGTGTGTGTGTGTGTGTGTGTGTGTGTGGCCAGCTCTGCCCACCAGGGGGCGGGGCTGGCTGGCATGTGGTGCTGGGGGATTGAACCGCGGTCCCTGTGCTTTGCTAAGCTTGTTCTAAGTAGGCGCTTTAGACCGCTGAGCCATCTCACCAGCCCCATGTCAGTCATGTTTACAGCAAAATCTGCGCCAAACTAATAAAGGAAGTTCACAAGTTATTGTAATCGTGTAGACCACTGTTACTTTTGTCTCAATCAGTTTCCCAAGCTTATTTACACATACATAAAACTAACTAGAATATACAGTCTGCCCAAAAATGTATACAGGTTTAGGAAAATTTATATATCTTTTCCTTTCTTTCTTTTTTAATCTTTTTGAGACAGGGTCTCACTATGCAATTCAGGCTGGCCTTGGCCTTGAGCTCACTTTGTAGCCCAGGCTGGTCTCGAACTCAAAACAATCCACAAGTATACACTACCATACCGGGCTAAAAATAATTTTTTAATATACGGTGTTATCTTTGCATGGGGGATCCTAGAGGATGCTGTATAATGCTGAAAACCCAATGTTTTGCCTGCTTTGGAGAAGAAATTGAAAATGTATGTGCAGCAATCTCAATGACCAAGGGTATCCAAGCAGGCCACCATATTAATGAATACCTGGAGGCTAATGGCCATCACTCTGTACACCTCTTGCAATTGTAGAGGCCAAAGGAAACCTGAATTAATCTCATGATATTTAGTGTTAAAATACTTATACAAATTTTTCTATTCCTGTATCATATAAAACTTTTTGGTGGTCAGTTGGGTGGTGGGTCTGTCTGTCTGTCTGTCTGTCTGTCAGTCTGTCTCTGTCTCTCTCTCTCTCTCTCAAACACAGACCTTCAGAGTGAGACAGACCTAGTTTAATAACTAATGTGAAAAAGGGCTGGAAACCAAAAGTCAGGCTCAACAAGAGTCCCAATTTCAGTGCTGACCACGGCAGATTGCTACGCTTACAAGTACCTTCTCTCTCTTTTTTTTTTTTTGCGGTACCGGGGATTGAACTCAGGCCCTTGCGCTTGCCAGGCAAGCGCTTATTCTACTGAGCCACCTCCCTGGTCCTTAAACACACATTTAGGTTCAATGCAAAAAACAAACCTTCAACGAAACTACGCCTTACACGGCAGTGCTCCTTATCCCAGTGCCAATATTTAGAGTCTATCAACTCGTGCTCAACGCACACCTGCAAGGACACGCTGCTCTGGAAGGCGAGGCAAGAGGCCTGTGTGACCAGCCGACTCAGTGTGACCCTGCCTCAAAATTATGTTTAGTTAAAATGGCTACAGATGTATCTCGGCGTGAAGGCCCTGGGCTTAACCCCAGTACTGCACACACACGTTTCATCACCTGCTTCTCGCAGGAAGTAAAGGATTTAAAGCAGATCGGAGGGCCGAGGACTTATCGCTGTCGTCTGAAGCAATTCATTTTTACCTCTGCCAACTGCAGCTTTCCCTATCCAGTTACCTCATGGTATCACTGAGAGGAATGACTAAGGTACAAAGGACCCAGCAGGACAAACTGAAATGCAACACAAATTTGAATTGCTTTACAGAAGCACTGCAATAGGTCACTGCTAAGATCCTCCCAGGACTGCAATTATTAATGTACCTTTGAGGTCATAAAACTAAGTGCTAAATTTGCAGGGCAAAGATTTGCACAAAGAGAGAAAACATCAACAGGACAGCAATCAAGGAAACAGGAAATACACAATTTGATGCAGTGTTGAGAATGCACTTCCCCAGCAGCAAATTGGTCTGCAGACCTAAAAGACAAGTCTCAATACAAACCCCAATCATCATGACGAGACACTCACTAAATATATCACGACTGGGGCCAGGGAGATGGCTCAGTGGAATAAGCGCTTCCCTGGAAAGCACAGTGGCCTGAGTTCAATCCCTGGTTCCACCAAAAAATAAATAAAATAAAATAAAATAAATAAAATAAAATAAAATAAATCACAACTGCAAATGTATTCGTAATCACTGACAACATGAATCAGAACCCTAACATGAAACCTAAGTGTTTTTGTTCTAGGAACCTTCCAGGCTCAGGTTCATACTGAATCTGATTGACCAAATTACCTATCCACTCAACTCTCGCCTGCAAAAGGTAATTGTGGAATGGTAGTTCACAGGTTAAAAAGACTCCTCTGAGAGCGTAAGGATGCAAAGTCTCTAAAGAGGCTTCTTGACACACAGGAACTCATGTTAATTACACCTAACTCCATTAAATTCGATTCGGATAATTTTGTACCATTCTGTTTTCAAAATTTTAAATAGGGGAACAAACACAAGTTTTTACATGTTAAAATAAGACTTAAATTTAAAATGATATTGAGATAAAAAGCTAAAGAGATATATGGAAAAAGCAAATTACAAGACAATATACTCAATTGATTCTGTTTTATGTGTTTAAAGTAATTACTTCCCAACAGTGGAATTACGTGACTCATTTTTTTCCTATAATTTGTATTATGTCTGAATTTTGTGTAAGTACTATGTATTTCTTTTTTTTTTTTAAATTCTGTTTCTATAAACTTGTTGAGGGGCTGGAGAGATGGCTCAGTGGTCTAAGGCACCTACTTAGAACAAGCTTGGCAAAGCATCAGGGAC